GAGCCGACAAAATAAAAACAAAGACTATTTTGGGGGGTTGTTTCGGGACGTTTGGGATCTGTTTGATTTATGAGAGGTAATAATAAACTTTTAAAAACATTTATTTAGTCTAGGGTTCTTAAACCAACTCAATTTAACACTGCTAAAGGAAATTATTTTTAAAAAATGAGAATATGTACTTTAACTAAATAACACTTCAACTAAAACGTCCATGCATAATCTAAACTGACTTTTAGGCACTTTAGATTAAATATAAAACCCTTTTGGGGTCTGTAATGATGCCAGTGGCCCAAAAAACCGTTTTGTGCGGATATTTCTGCTTTTATGAGAGACGATGCGTTCTCGTCCCGTTCAGACTCCCGGAGGAATCTAGCAGAGCAGCTCTGAGAGCACAAATTACTGTCGTCCCACCTAATCGACCCCTGAAGCCGGACCCACCGGTTCCGATTAGCTGTCGCTGTTTCCAGGCAGAGGATCCGGGAGAAGACCCACCGGAGATCCTACCGGTAGACAGGAGGCCTCACTCCGCCCCGAAAAGAGGCACGAAGATTCCGGTCTAAACCTCCACCTGGGACCGGAACCGCCAGTTTCACCCGGAGGATTTACCCGTGAGCACCAAGATAGTTTGACTCCCAAAGGAGTGGTACATTTTCAGTTATTTTAGCCCAAAATGAAAGACAAAGGTCAGTTTTCAGACTTGTATGCCATCAGATTGGATAGTTTGCAGGGATTTAAGCCCAAAATGAAAAATAAAGGTCAGTTTTCAGACTTTTATGCCGTCAGATTGATCGTTTTGAGATATTTTAGCCCAAAATGAAAGAAAAAGATCAGAGCAGAGTCCTGAGAACATCTTAGAAAACTGGACCAGTGGAGGACAAATCAGGTTATTTAGTCTTTACATTTTTAGAATAAACAACTAAAACAATAAAGAAAGTCTGACATAAAACACTGGACAGCTTTTAAATGGCACTAATGAGCCCAGACCTTCATCCTAATTAGCCTTTCTGGAAGATTTAACCAAAGTAATGTTGGAAAATGCTCAAAAGGATTAACAGCAGGTGACATCTGAGGAAACTGGAGGACAGAAGAAGAAGAGTTGGGCCTAAAATGTTTATTTAAAAAAATTTAATTGAAAGAAATGAAGGTTATGTTCGGGAATACTTTTAAACATTTCTTAGGCCAGGTGTGAAGACCTGTGTTTTCAGAGTCCTGAAAACATCTGAGGAAACTGGACCAGTGGAAGACAAATACTTTGGTTAAATCTTCCAGAAAAGCTAATTTCGATGAATGTCTGGGTTCATTAGTGCCATTTAAAAGCTGTCCAGTGTTTTTTTCAGCATTTCTTTATCATTTTTAGCTCTTTATTCTCAAAACATAAAGACTAAATCACAGTCATTGTTGGAAAATGCTAAAAAGGATTAACAGCAGGTGACATCTGAGGCAACTGGAGGTCTGAAGAAGAAGAGTTGGGCCTAAAATGTTTATCTAAAAACATGTAATTTAAAGAAATGAAGGTTATGATCGGGAATGCTTTTAAACATTTATTAGCCAGTTACTGAAGTGTGTGAAGACCTGTGTTTTTTATGTGTTTGGCCTAAAACGTTGATAAAAAACCTATTAAAAAAACACACAAAATGCCATGTTTTTTCTCACAACTGTGGCGTTTTTTAGCCCCTCCTGTCTCCTCCAGCCGTTTCCCGGGAGGGGTTTTCTCCTTTCAGCCCAGATAATAAAAGCTTCCGGCATAAAGGGACCAAAACAAACCTCCGGCCTGCATAGCAACCGGCGTCCCCGCAGCCAATCAGATCGCTCGCTGCCCGTGACGTCTTGTTTGTTGGCCATTAGTTCGCCACCTCCGTGACGTCACTCAGGGGAGCGGGGGCGGGAGGGAAGAGGAAGCAAAGATCGGTAACGAAACAGAGATATCACTCCTCTCCTTATTTAGAGGAAAAAGCATCAGGAATTAGAAGAAATTAAAGAAGTTAAAAGGTTTTATAGAAGGTTTGGATGAGAGGTTGATCTAAAAGCTACAATCTTACTGCTCCTCAAGCGTTTTTAGGGAAATTTAAGTGAAAAGGTTAATTTAAATACAATTCAGTGCTATGTATTTAATTATAAAGCACCATTCAGAGAAAAAGTAACACTGTGCTTTACATTAAAACACATTAAAAACACAGGTCTTCACACACTTCAGTAACTGGCCTAAGAAATGTTAAAAGCATTTCAAAACATAACCTTCATTTCTTTAAATTTAATGATTTTTAGAAGGTTTGGATGAGAGGTTGATCTAAAAGCTACAATCTTATTGCTCCTCAAAGGTTCTTATTTTATTTTTATGAATTATGTTTATTAGGTATTTTTGAACATTTATACAAAAACAGAAAGGGAAAAAAACAATAAGAGGGCAAAACGTATACAGCACTGATACAGAAAACAAGACCAAATCAAAATTGGAGGCATGTACATAAATTACAGCGTCATATGAGAAACATAACCAATTTATTCATACACGTCATTCAGATTCACATTACTGGTTTTTCATTTTTGAAATTTTGAAGTGTTCAAGAATACGTTCCTATCTTTTTTAAAAAGCATAACATTTCCCATTCATTCAATATCTCAATCTTTCTTGTATGATAACTTCAGAAAGCATATTTTTTCATAGCTGGATCGACGGGGCATCAGAACCAACCCATTTAAGCATTATTGATTTTCTGGCCAACGTCAATAGAAATTGCACAATTTCTTTGTGAGTATCCAGATGACTGGGTGTGAACCCAAGGGGAAAATGATTGGACTAGGGAGAAGTGTTTGTCCTATAGCGGAGCTAATTTCTTGACATATTGCATGCCAGAACGTTTTTAGGGAAATTTAAAGAGAAAAGGTTCATTTAAATACAATTGAGTGCTATGTATTTCATTATAAAGCACCATTCATAGAAAAAGTAACACTGTGCTTTACATTAAAACACATTAAAAACACAGGTCTTCACACACTTCAGTAACTGACTAAGAAATGTTTAAAAGCATTCCCGATCATAACCTTCATTTCTTCAAAATTGATTTTTTTTTTAATTAAACATTTTAGGCCCGGCTCTTCTTCTTCTGTCCTCCAGTTTCTTCAGATGACACCTGCTGTTAATCCTTTTGAGCATTTTTCCAACATTACTTTGGTCTTCCAAAAAGGCTAATTACGATGAATGTCTGGGCTCATTAGTGCCATTTAAAAGCTGTCCAGTGTTTTTTTTTCAGCTTTTCTAGAATTAACTAGAATAATTATCTGAAAAATATAAATTGACACAGTGGTGACGTTTGATTTATGATTAAATAATGTAAACTATCAGTATTTACTCTTAATAGTTTGGTTTGTTTGCTTTTTGTCGTATTTCTTATTTTAAAACTTAAGCTAACGTTTGGTTTTTAGTCAGGCTAACGGCTGGTCTTCTTTTTACCCCACGTACGTTACGTCTTACGTCACAGCCTGATCTCTAGGCGGAAGTGAACACGTGGGGTGGAAGGAGCAACATCAGCTCGTGTGGGTTCTTCTCCGGGTGATTTTTGATTTTTCGTCTTTTCACCGAGGACGAGGGGTTGTCTCAGACCGAGAACGAGGAGTTTTGAAGCGGTAAATTTCCGGTTATTCACAAAAAAAGCGTCGGTTTGGCGCTTCTTTTCACGGCCGGAACCAGATAATCTTTCTCCGCTTTAATCATGGCCGTGAGGGCGTCCTTCGAGAAGAACAACGAGATCGGCTGCTTCGCCAAACTCACCAACACCTACTGCCTGGTGGCCATCGGCGGTTCGGAGAACTTCTACAGGTGAGCAGACACCTGAACTGCACGTGCCACGGCCCCCCTGCGCGTGCCGGGGGGAGTGGGGAGGCGTGTCGGCTTCCGTAGGACCCCCAGAACCAGACCGGACCGTAAACGGTTATATTTATTTAAAGACAACAACTTTAGAATAATTTAAGTGTGTTAGATTTCGTTCTGGGAACTAAAGGCATTTAATGTCCACAAAATGACCAACAGTCAAAGTAAAATTAACACAAATATTCTACAATATATGAAAAAAAGAATGAAAACAACTATAATAACACTTGAGACCGGCTCTGCTCAGCTGTTGCTTGTTTCCTGGTGACAGATATTACTGTTGCACAGCTTTTTTAATGGTTTTTGCATATGTGAAATAGTTGAGTCAGATTTCTGAGGCCTAAAAAACTTAAACTTACTGTCATAATGTACCGAAAATATTGATCAATTTGAATTCAAATCAACCGTAGAATGATTTTTTTTTTTTTTATGTAAAGAAAACAAATACTGGAGATAAACATATATACATATAATTTTGCAAGGTTCAGTCTTTACAGGGTTAAAAACATGCTTCAGTTCATTCTTTTTCTCTCATATCAGTGTCAGAATTGTAGAATATTGCCCACATGCTTCCAGTTTGTTATTGGAACAAATATTTGTCCTTTAGTGGCCGTTAACAGTGATATTTATGAAGTGAAAGAATAAGCTTCAAAACATTTAAAATGTGTTATATTTTGTTCTAGAACCTAAAGACACAAAAATATTGATCCAATTTAATAAGATAAATATATTTTTAAAAATTTGTTACATTATGTAAAGGAAACAATGACTCCAGATAAAAATAGATTTTTTTCAGAGCTTAGTCTTTACAGGGTTAAAAACAAGCTTCAGCTTTCTTTTTGTCTGTGTTCACATATTTTTCCTTTATGGCCAGCAAATGGCCAGTAATATTTATGAAGTAAACATTTAATTAAAATCAGCGTTTAAGCGATTGTTTTTCTATATTATGTAAAGAAAACAATGCCTCAAGATAAAAATAGATTTAATTTTTCAGAGTCCAGTCTGTACAGGCTCAGAAACCAGCTTCAGCTCTTTGTTTCTCTCTGTGGACACAATATTTATGAGGTAAAAATTTAATTAGAATTGATTTAAAAAAACATTTTTTCTACATTATGTAAAGAAAACAACGGCTCCAGATAAAAATTAATTAAATTTTTAGAGTCATGTCTGTACAGGGTTAAAAACCAGCTTCAGCTCTTTGTTTTTCTCTGATATTGGTGTCAAAATATCGGGCGTATGGGGCTATAATTGTAGAACAGCTCAGAGATGCTAACAGTTAGCAGCTAAAGGTCATCAAAGCTTGTTCATAGGAGCTAACAGCAGCTAACCTTCAACTACTAGCTAACATCAAATTCCTCCTGTCTCCCCCCGGTCCCAGCGTATTGGGGTAAGAATATCGGGCGTATGAGGCTGTAATTGTAGAATAGCCTCATGTTTTCCCGTCTCTCCTCCTCCTGTCTCCTCCCGTTTCCCCCCCAGTCCCAGCGTGTTTGAGGGGAAGATTTAAAGGATTGTTTTTTCTACATTATTTAAAGAAAACAATGACGCCAGATAAAAATATATTTTTTTTTGACAAACTTCAGTCTTTACAAGGTTTAAAAACCAGCTTCAGCTCTTTGTTTGTCTCTTTTATGTTGGCTGCTTCTCTCTGCTCCCTCTGTCCTTCTCTCTCTTTCTCTTTCCCTTTCCCTC